GCTCAGTCACGGTTTGCGCATATTGAAAAGTTTAGCCTCAATTTTTCAAATTCGTCGTTTGTAATCCGTGTTAATCTTCTCCATCCTTAGCCATCCTTGTTCCTTTATGGTTTATCATTAAGTCTTTGGTGTTTTTCTATCTTATTAAACTGTTATTTTCAGATTTCCTACCATTTAAAGGTAATTTTGTACGTGGCCAAAATAATTCAAAATACCGTGACTGAGCTCTTTAACAATTTAAGCGAAAGCATTTCACTCCTAAGTGGGAAACTCTCATTAACGGAAGGCGTCAACCTTGCCCTGTAGCGTTCTTCGTAAATAGGCCATTTCCGAGTTACCTTGTGTCTCTGTTTCAAAACGAACCTTTTATATGAAAATGAGTGTGATTTGCATGAAAATGAACCAGTAGGCGGAACGCATTTTCATATGAATGGTTTGGTATGAAGACTCGTTTTGACACCCAGGCAAAAGGCAACTCGGAAGTGGCCGAGAAGAATAGTGCTTACTTGTAGGTGTGCACACCATGCCTCCACAGTAGTTCCTACAGCACTTCCGGTCAGCGTCACAGTGACTGTCTTCCGAACACTCAGACTCAGTGCATTTGGGGTTAGCGTCATCTGGCAGCACATATGCCACGCCCCAAAAATTCAGCCGAGGGTCTTTTATTTTAAAGTTGGCCTCAGGCTTAACACACAAACCAGTCCTCGAGAGGTATCCTGTGGGAGAAAAGAACTTCTAGAGTTATAAAACCAGTCGCGTTGCTAAGCAACAAACGGTATTACTATAACAATAAGTTGTCGTGGGTGATCCGGTGAAGCTCTTGCTATGATCAGGGTAGATGTGCGTGTTTCCGAGGACTTGAGCCTTAGTTGTCAGTGGACTGCAACGATGTCTCATTAGGAGAAAGAAAGCTTATTCTACGCTTCTTGGACTTATATAGTAGGTTAATCGTTACTACCTGAGTTCAAGCCCTTGCAGAGATCATCTTTGTATATTCGGCTTGGACAAGACGCTCTTTTCTTACAGTGTCTTTCCCCCACCAGGAGTATTAATAGATACTAGTGAGCCGTTACGGCGACCTTGCAGAATGCTGAACTAGCATCTTATTCGGGGATGGAAAAACCTATTCTCAAAGTCGCCTCCTTTACCGAAACAGTTCGTGTGGGCAACGTGACCCGAATGCCATCCTTAATACTACACACTTTCACATACGGTAATTCTTACCTCTTTTAATTCTCTTTATGGATCCTGCATGGAAATAAAAAAAAGCAAACAAGTAAGTTAGAGCAGTTTGAGACGTTACACGTTTGCTGCGAGATAATGGTTTTGACAAGTCTCTGAATTGTTTCCTGTAAATTAAATCTACAACCTCCTTAATTACTTAATCAACAATTCAAGCGAAATTACTAAATTCTTTAAACCCTACGACAATTCTGGCCTCGGACAATGTTTAATGTTAAAAGTGGCGTGCAAATTTTTGTGCGCGGAGGCGAGGACCCGCGGTATAAATGCCGCGCGTGCATATGCATAAACCAGTCATGGGACAAAGTTACAACCTTTCATCCACATAATCATTATAACAAATCAGTAGTAGGCTCTCAGCTTTCTTCTGTTGGAAATACGCGAATCTGATTGGTTCCCTCGTCGTTTTCTATTCGGTGATAGACAAAGATCGCGCTCGCCTTGACTGCTCTTGAAACTGAAAAGTATTCTAACTTATAGGTTAAAAATTCACAAAATTGTCGGCTTTGTGTTCTAATCTTTAGAGTGTCTACCAAAACAATTAGACTACTTGCCCTCGTTTTCTGTGAGCAAATTGTCAACTCCGGCTACGTCTCTTTGACTATTCGCTCATAGAAAACGAGGACAAGTAACCTGATTGTAAAATAGATCTCCAAATAAACGAATTGAAACTGTGCTTACCTGACTGGCATAACATAGCATATCCAGCCAAAAGTAAAACTACAAATGCCCTCATCCTTCACCTCATCCAGGGATTCGTTTCCTAATAAGGGAGGAAAACTAACAAATAAAACCACAAATGGAAAAACGTAGTGCGCATTGTTTACTGGCGTGATCGCCCTGGCTATATAGAACTGACAGCGATGCTCGTTGTATCTTTAGGAGGTTAAGGATGTTGTTTGGCTACCACTTAAGATGTGTAGCATAAAATCCCACTTTGTTATAGTTACAGTTGCTAAGACATGGCATTTATTTAGTTAAGGGGCTCACAATCCACTAGAAATACAAAGAATCCGTTAGAATTCTGTACAAATAGGTGTTCGTTGGAATCTTCTTGGTATAACTCTTCCTGCCGGCAAACCTGAACCACACCCGTAGAGGTAGAATCTAGAAATCTTAACGGTTCGTTGTATGATTTCCGACTTGCATCCGTGTCATTCCGCTGACCATATGGCGGCCGGATCGGAGCCCGGGCTTCTTCCCACCCCTTTCCCTTCAACCCACCTCTCACCTCTGTCACGTGAGGAAAATAGGTCTTTTAATGGCCTGCGAAGCTGAGTAATTATTTGCGAAGATACAGTACCGGTCGCAAGATCAAATTTAAGATGTTCATATTTGATTTCTGACATTTTGCTAACTAGTTAGCTCGTGTGGCTCTATTTAATTATTATGCCAAGTGATGAAATCTACCGGCCGAGGGAGATTAAACCCGGGAAGCGCATTTAGCCTTCCTTGATTGACATGTGCTAAACTCAACATTTACTGGTGTATGCTTCTGTTAAACATTTTGGATTGTTGCCTGCGAGAGAGAGCTTTCTGGCAAAAACGTGTGCAAAGACTGACAAACAGTAAGCAAGAAATCTTTCTCGCTTTTTCCGTTGCTTTTTCACAACTTCATTCCTGTTATCTGCCTGACGTACATTTCAGACTACAACTTAAGATAGAAAGCCTCGCCCGAGGTCTTCAAAGACTTCATATTGTATGTTTCGAGAGTGTTACGCTCTGCGAGTCCGTGATTGTTCTGTTTATTTCTATATTTATTCTGTCGCGATCACTGGGCACCCGTTTGTTTCAACGGCAGGTTGTTGATACTTTCGCACACAAGTAGATTTTAAATATTCTCCAGGCGGCTAAGTAAATCAACAGTACTTCAATTAGAAATATTCTACTATGGGGGAAATACCGTATATCTGTCGACAACAGAGGTGTAGAGCGATTTTTGTTTTTAAAAAAGCACACTGGTAAAAACGTAAAATGACCCAAAGTAAACGAGTTATATTTCCCTTGACAACTTATGCTTGTGCAGGCCATGTCCAAGTGTCGAGAACTTAACAACAAAATATCGACAATTCTTTGAGACTTTGAGACTGAAGTTTAAGCATCTAATTACGTCTTTACCATATTGCAGATCTTACAGCAAAAGGGTGAAACACTCCGGTAGAACGTAAGGATAAATGGCAATATCAATTTGATTCCGTCGAAACTGCCCCCAATGTTTTCCAGTTATCTCGATCTCTCAGCGACGAAGCAAGCGAAATAACCTGACGAATGTTTCGCAAGAATCAAATTCAGACCCAGTAGAAAATATCTCTTAAAATTATTTAACTTACCTTTGTTAGGGCAACTTGAAATTTTCAATATTTTTTCGTCTCCTTTCCTTCGCGCATAACTAATTCTCAGGTATTACCTCATTTCCTGAGTATGAAGGAATGAAGGAATCGACACCATAAACCGCTGACCAGGTGAATCGTCATTTAGCACAAAATGGAGCGTGATTTGATATGTTTTAGCGGTGCGATATTCAGTTTTCTGCGAGGACAGCAAAAACATGAAGTTCCTAATTTTAATGCCTTATATAAGTTGATTCGGCCAGAGTAGACCTTTTCGCAAATATCCGGATATTTTTGGGGATATTTAGAAGTTTTCGAGATATTTAGAAAAAAATGGTGTTTTGAGGATTATTCACAGCTTTTTTTGGCCCTGTGTTTTCTTCGCCGTTTTCTTGAAGCATTACTCAATTCTATGCTAGACTGAACAATTCAGTTCAGCGATTTTCCACTTGGAAAATGTATGTCACTGAACGCGCTAAAGTAGCAATTTTGGAAACTGGCGGATACTGGTAACATCGGAGCGCCTGAAACTTCTTCCTCAACTCCTACTACTGCAAGAAAATTTAGAAAATTTTGGCCTAAGTGATTCAAAATCGATTAATTTTTAAAACAAACAAAAACTTTTGGATATTTAGGGGATTTTTCCAGATATTTAGAAAACTGTTTCTGATATTTAGAAAATTGTTTGAGAATTTCCGGAGAGATAATTAAATAGGCGATTTTATGTGATATTTGTGTAAAAGGCTTAGGCCAAATTTAAAAGTCTGCACATTGTGAAGTATGGCGTTTCCGTGGTCTATAATAAATCTTAAAGACTTCTGGTGGGATTTATTAAATCGCAGAATATAACTATTTACATTACTGTCCTAACATTCAGTTATTAGCTTTCCCAACTGATTATTTATGTTGCTCATATATCGTCTGAATTTTCAATGTCCTCTTTGACGTGCAACGCGCGTATATCGAATCCACTGACAACTTTTGTCAATATTTGCATCTCGTTTTGTAACACAAAATAAACTCTTGACAGTCCCTTGCACTTTTCCCCGACGAATGTGCATTAAGTTCTGTTATAATTTTTTGTTCCGCTGTTATATGGTGCAAACGTTTTCAAAACAAAGTGAATTTTCTCAGGAAGGCAGGCTCTAAAATTCTTCTTTCCTCTCCCGAAAGCCCTTCACCGTATTTATTCATGTTTAACTAACTCTGTCTGTTTCAATCAATTCACTAAAACAACTATCTTGCTATAGTGTCAAGCGTCGCGAATAATTTTCAATAGCATTTTCGCGGCGTAAGTGCTATTAATTTATTTTTTGTCGCACGAAAACCGTCAAGGACAACAAAGAAAGCTAAAGAACATCAAAAGAACGTGGGTTGAAAAATGGTTTACTCATTTGTCAACTTTTTTTCCTCTCACATCGATCTCTCGAGCCAATGTTTAGCCTTAATTGCTAGTGTCGCACACTCCGCCCGATAGCAACTCTTTCGCGTGCTGGAGTATGTCTGCGACTAGGAGAAACTTCCAGAAGTGCAACATAACTGCCAACATGAGCGATTATTAATCGAAAACAGAGTGCATTCAGTTACTGAATTAAAATATAAACTTTAAAATTGACTGGTAAAACGATTAGCTTTGAACTTTCAGCTTTGACATAGATTTGTAACCTGCATTGTGGCGACAGATCCAGTAAACAAGCATTGCTACTTGTGCCTTTCGGCTTATACATAGTTTATGAAATCCATTTTTCAATTTTCCTCACAAATTTTCAGTCAATTGATCCATACATAAAGATGTCGCTTTGCAGATTACCATAATGCTTACTAGGGAATTGCTCTTGTTTATTTCATCGATTATGCAAGTGGAACTGAAAGAAGCTACACGCAGGGAACTGTTTTTTGCGAAGTTTCTCTCAACAAAATTAATTCTGCAAATTAAACACCATTGAGTACCGAGTTCGAAACTGCTGTTTAATCACAAGCTATAAGTTGGAAACGACGGAAGGCAAGCTAATAAAAGTTATGAAACATGTCAACATCGATGAGTATAATCTATAATTTTTGCGTCCGCATTTTCAATAAAATATTGCACACAAATTTAATGGCCAAAATCACACTGTCTTCTTAAAGTTAATATTGGAATAAATCGGAAATAAGTTACAAAGAACTCTGCATTTTCAGGGCTATTTTTTCCTCTCTGACCATAGTGCATGTCAATTAATCAAGAAATTAGTTTTTCTGACTAAAAGCTCTTTTATATTCGAGTCTATTTTTATTTTTTACATCTACATAAGAATTATTCGACCACTCTGCGTTTACAGGTTTTAGACAGGCAGCTGAATCAATTTGAGCGCTTTAATTGCTGTTTATCCTAGGAGTAGATATTTTTTTCAGTGTCAAAATTTACACGCTCGCTTGAATGAATATGTGCGGTGGAAGCCTTGCGGGGTTTCGGTCAAGTCCGTTCCCATTGCGGTGAAATTGCAGGGAAGCAAGCAGAACCCATGTTTGGCCGCGCGTGACTGTTGATCATGGAAGGCTGGGTAAGACCAATTAAGGAAACATGGCGGAAAAAAGCGTCGAAGAGAGCATTCTGTTGAAAACCGGCTAAATTTTTCCCGGGATCATGAGTCTTATGAGACAGGTTAGTCTTTTAGCAGCTGGTTGTCAGCCTTGGAACCTCGATGTGTGCGCAGCAAGCAGCAATGGGGACCGTTTTGCTTACTGTGCGACGCTCGCCGTTTACGTTTACGAGGTACGTAAATGACCTCGCGGTCACTATAGCGATAACTAGTGGAACGATATTGAACAATGGTTGAACTCTTTGCTCCTTAATCTAGCAGTATTCCAACGTCTTTCTGGTGGTAATATTTCTAGTAAGCGTGGTTCACGACTGCTGTCTCTCCTATTTGCACTGTCGCCTTTAATTAAGGGAATTGGAATTCTCACTGTATTTTGTTTATTTTGCTCGGAGAATCTGTAAGAACTGCTGGAGTGGTTTCTCAAAATTCCTTTTTCCCTCAGTAAACAACGTCGCTCCTTACCACCCACTGCTAGAACTACGGCACTCTCCATTCTACCTGAACAAATGTTAGCAGCGTTTTGATGTCAAGCTTATAAGATCTATTTTGATGTAAATTCGCAAAATTGGGGACAATATCTTTTAGTGCGCAAACTTTGAACTTAAACTTAAAGCTTGTGCTTAATATATTTCAGCGACATAAGCTTAACTGTGTCAACTCGGTAGAATATTCCAGAAAAAACCCACAAGAAATTAACTTTGACATTTGTAGGGTCAGTAGGGATCCCTTTTTCGATCTGTTCGATGTGCTTAAGCTATAATTGTAAACATTATCGGGTTAGGTATCTCTAATCACAATTTTATGATAGTCAATTGACAATATTTAGAATTTTGATGCATTTTAATTTGCGCAATTCTTATCAAATTTCTTCTAAGTAAAACCTTGCAAAATTTTTGATTGTTTTTTTTTTTAAATTGACATGACTACACTGTAGTTTCTTAATATATAATAGACAGCACGCTCTCTGGCCTTGCTGTTTCTCAATTCTTGCGTGAAAATACAATAATTTGATTTAAATTTCTTGAAGTGTTTTAGATTTTTTACATTTTCCAGCTGGATTAGACAGATTTTCTCTGTTTCCATAACACCTGTTGATGTAATATGTGTGGTGTGAAAATCAGCCCAAACAGGAGGGGGACATTACCGCAATACCGCAAAAAAAAAAAAAAAAAATCGCTGAATACCACAATACTTCAATACCGAGTGGAAATGCGAGGTCATACCGAAACCAGTACTCTTCATGTTAAAGTTTAGGGCAAATAAAATGGAAATAACAATTGAGAATTTGATAATGAATGTTAGGTCAGGTAATTTTCGATTTAGACAAAATAAGTAACATCCACTGGCTGGGTAGCTAATAATTAACAAAAAGTAACATAACCTTTTACGATTTGCAGTTTACCATTACCATGAGAGCTAAGTTTCATTGGGAATGTCCAATCGGAAACTGGAAAAGGCTCAGAAAATGTCGGAGGACTAGGAGGATACAATGTAATTTTTAATACCATCCAAAATGCTGAAAAACCGCATCCCACAGGTTCGGAGAATACCGCAATACCACATTTTGAGAGTCAAATTACCGAAATACCACTGGAAAAATTGTCCAATACCGCAATGCCACAAACCCCAATGTCCCCCTCTAAACAGCAATCCTGCAAGATTTGCACAGTCCAAGTAATTAGACAATTGACTCCCTTAAGATCAGGGTTGACTTTGACCAACACATACAGTCATTTTGCATGGGAAAGTTACATAGCTAGGTTGCACTTCTTGCATTGTGTAAAAACAGACTACAACTTTTGCTGTCTGAGGTAACAATTTTCACAGGAATTTAGTACATATGTTGTTTCTAAATTCTATGACATGTTGCATACAAAGATCAGGAGCCAGGAGGGGGCAGGGGGGGTAATACTCCAAGAAATATTTGGTTGGGGTGTGTGGCTAGCTTCCCAAAACCCTTACCCTATTTATTACCAAAATCAGGGATTTTCAATACCCTATGACTTTGTATGACCTGACCCAAAATCAATACCCTGTTTCAGACCTGCCTTATACTTAGTTTGCTTGTTCAGACCGACGTTAAAGGTATCGTGAAGGGCGTTTGTTGATCAGTCTTATTGATAATGATGAAAAAGTAGCTTCTTCTAAGAAAACATGCCCAATTCAAGACTAGAGTGCAAAAACCAGACCCTTTTAATGATCAAAATGGCTAAAATTGATACCCTATTTATGACCAAACGGCTGAAAAACCATACCCTTTGGGGCCGCACATATAGCCCATATAAGGGAGTAGCCCCCCCCCCCCCTGGATCAGGGCTCTCAATAAGGGCTGTGACCTGTTGACCCGTTGCACCTGTTACAGCTGAGTATGCTTGAAATTGGCTGTAGTTGATGCGATTCACCCATAAAGTAACAAATTTGTAATGGGTGTGAAGATGAAGGCTACCTGTAGGTGAATCAAAACTTAGTGAGAGCCCTGGTCATACACTTATTAATATATGCAAAAATTAAGTTAGCCCTGGGAAGAAAAAATATCATGCTTGCTCAGTGATTTACCAGTCTGCTGTCATATAGGCATGTTGAAACTAAAGTAATTTACCATAACACAGTGAGCCCATATTTTCTATGGGCAAAATTTTTTATAAAGTCAATGAGCTGCAGCCAAGTGCCGGTGTTACCGATGAAACTATCACCAAACACGGCAGCTGTGTGGGCGAATATTGGTCCCAGATCTTTATGTAGTGGACCGTTTTACCGATGTCACGCAATATACATATCAACAATTTTTGGTCTTTTTCAAATAAACAAATATCACCTCCATAGTCCAACATGTATTATTCTGTATTTAGTAAATCTACAAAGTTTTATAAGAATCCATTGGAAACTCATGACAATATGGGACTCCAACCTTACAAAAAATTGTATGCCAAGGGGCAAGCATTGTCCCCTGGCATACATTTTGTTGTAAAAATTGGAAAATTAGGGATCTCATATTTTTATGTGTTTGCAACAGATTTTAATGAAACTTTCACAGATGTACTAAATTGGCATTATAAATTGAGCAATGTAATTTATTTTTTACTGGAATGGAAAAAAAAACTAAATGGAAAAGTGTGACACTTTTAAAAAGGTCCATTGTTGAAGTGCAACTAAAACATGTGAGCTTTAAGATGGTAATGCAGGTCTAGTTCATAAGGATGCCACAACAATGGGAGTCAACGTCCGTAACTTAAGGGTTTGCATGTTGTTGAAAAGCACAGTAAATACTTAGTACATGTACATGTACAGCCCCGAATTGATTCTTGTTTCTTTTCTTTAATTTGTAGTTGGATCAACAATTCAATGAATTCCGTCTATCTGCCATCATGGCACAGCATAAGAAGACCATCACCTGCATTTCATGGCATCCCAAAAACCCTGACCTCCTTGCAACATCTAGCAGTGATAGTTGCATTTGTGTATGGAGTGTGTCACAACAAAGTGTCATTGCTACACTAGAGAATGTCAAGTCTGCACCAATTACAAGCATTGGGTGGTGTCCACATGATTCTGATTGTATAGCTTATATATGCAGCCGAGGGCCTATGCACATTTGGAACTATACCTCTACCGATGAAGGGGTGTTGTCCAAGCATTTAGAATCCATGACATTTTTTTCTGAGGTGTGTCAATTTCGCTGGAATCAAAGAAAGATAGGGAAACTTGTGTTTGGGCATAATGACGGAAGTATATCTGTCGTAAGTCCAGGACAGAAAGCTTTCAAACATTATTTAAGACCTGAATCTGTTGATGATCCTGATGATGAAGATCCTGTGACGAGCCTCGAATGGGATCCATTGTCTGCAGATTACTTGTTGGTTTCAAATGCTCATCATGGAATGAGGCTGATTGACACCGATTCTATGACTGTGATTATGAGTTTTAAGTTACCAAGCTCTGCAATAAAGATTCATACATTGGCATGGGTCCCCTCTGCACCTGGAGTGTTTGTAACTGGAGGTAAAAATTGCGATTAGAGTAGTTTTAACATGAGTGGCGAAAAGTAACTGGTTTTGTTGAAATCATGATTCATTGGCTTCAAAACTCATACCATTTTTTTATCCAATCATGCATGTAAGTAATTTAACGAAAACCAATCGTGGCTAGTTGGCATACATTTTCATGCACTTTGTGTAGGTTAGATGTCATTACTTCAAGTTTTGATTGGTTCACTGCATTGTCAATGTCCTTTGTGATTGGCTAGTCAAGAGTGATTACTTTGGTTTTGACAGTTTTACGACACTCAGTTGAAAACTACTATGTTTTACAATCTGATCTCTCAAGTAATTTCCTTATAATTTACTGAGTGCATATTCTGAAAACTTTGCTTCTCAGTTTTGAATTTCATACAAGTAATAGCCAAGGATGTTACTTTGCATGGAGAACTTATCTGATAATGATTCTGTTTAGAGCCGTCCTTCCAATAAATGCTCCCTTTCTAATGAGCACTCCCCATTGATTGCATGAGTGCTGTTGTCTAATAACCCCCCCCCCATTCCAATAAGCACCCCCATAGTGAAAGTAGCATTCAAGACACTAACGCAATAGACTGATTAGACGGATGAATATGAAGTTATGAAGTTAGAGAATTTAACTTGATTTATAAATCTGTCATTCTTTCTAGATACTCAAGCTGGCATTCTGCGGGTCTGGAATGTGTCTAAGAGTTCTCCTATGATCAGCATTAAATTAAAAATGACTGGCTTTCATGCTCTCATTGTAGTAGAACCATTCCAGAGCACATCAACCAACAATATTGAAACATCTGTTGGACTTTCATCAACTTCAGTGGCAAGTATGCCACCATCTCAGCCAAATCACATCACATATTCTCTACCTCCCGCAAGCATTCTGTGTACATTTATGGATGGGGGGGTTGGGTTATATGATTTGGGGAAACGCAAATGGAGCTTTCTTCGAGAAATGGTGAGTTAACTTGAACACATACATCTATTATGTCTGCTCAGTGATAATAGTTACTTAGTAAATGGTTTGAACCCAGGAGTATCAGTAGTTCGTATAGTGTGATCGTCCGGGTGAGGGTAGTTGTGAAAAGAACTGTTGTTGGTGACTGACGTTTCGACAACCTGAGCGGAAGTCATCTTCAGAGTCAAGTGAATAGTGTTTGTCAGTTGATGATGTTATAANGATGAGAGACTTGACTCACAGTGCCTCTAGTCACCCAGTCATTTATATTTACTTATTGGACATGTCAGTGCATAGTACTGCAGACTGTGTACATTTTACAAGTTGTGCCATGTTTTTGGCAAGGTCATTGGGCAAGTCAAAATGAGTGAAAATGTAGAGTTCTGCTACAAACTAAATTGATTTACTTATCAAGATTTTCCTTTCCTAAACACTGCACATCTGAATTACATGCAGGGAGAAGGCCATAGAGGACTGCAGCTAACCTTTTTATTCACTAAATACCTGTTTTCCTCATGGTACAAATACAATGGGAAAACTGACTTTAATTTTGACAATTTGCAGGAGACATCAATTGTATTTGTGGAGCAACTGCAAAGAATGGAGTGTTCATATGGGATATAGCCAAGGAAAAAATTATCAAGAGATTTACTGAGGTGATTATTAGGAAAAATGTCCATGCCATAAAAAAAGTATTTTCAATCTCCATTACATGTAGAGTGTTGATATGCAAATGGGACTAGGGGTGCTTTCCGCTCAACCAGAAATTCTGGAAATTTTAAAATGGGTCACAAATGGTACAGACAATTTCATGGAAAAGTCAAATGGAACAGAAACTCTCAATGAGATATATCCGTAAATTCCTAGCTAGGTTGTCCTCTTTTGCGGAAATAATTCCTGGAAAATGCCATTCCATCCATCACTGGAAATGGTTCATCGTTAATTGAAAAAGCCCTAGGTTTGAAGGAATAAATATTGGGCCTGTCACCAACATAACTTCCTCTTATGGAAGTGAATGTATAAAATATCCGTGAAATCAGATGTACCCTTACTTTCAAGTGACGTGAGATGAAATTTTGCTGTTCTGAAGTTTCTTAAAATGTTAAATGGGGTGACGGAATCAATATCAGTGTACTGTAGGATTACTGACTGACCTCCAGATAATAAATTACAGGTGGGATACACTGCTAACCCTTTATTAAACATGTCTAGTAAGTAGTTGAATAGTAAGCTTAATAGTGTATTTAATTGTATAACTTAAATATACATGTGGCCCGCCTAGATTAGCCTTGACTACCTGAGGGTTCATGCTGTTATTATCTTTAAGTTTCTAACTTAATTACTTTTAATAATAAAGTGTAGATGCACACTGTAAGACACAGAAACAACTCATTAACCTAAAATTCATGGCTGTAAATTAATGAAAAAGGAATAAAAGTTTTTTGTTGCTATCCCCTGGCTTTCTTTGATTGATTTTTTTTTTCAATTTAAATTTTAATTAGCTTTTCCCATTTCTCCTTGTTTCAGCATGGAAAGCATAATGTTTACAACGTGAGCTGGAATCACAAGGATTCACGACGAATTGCCTCCTGCAGTGCAGATGGATCATGGTAAGTCTTCCCTTAATTTTACTGTTACTTAATATGAAATCTTTTAACTTATCTTCTTTCTTACCATCATCGTAAAAAAAAGTATATGTCAAGCAATTGTTGCTACCATCATAGTTTTAGTGAAGTTTTGATTAAGAAAATTTGAGGTAAGGGATAAGAATTTTGTCAGTGTGCAAGTTCAATATAACTCAATGTCAATCTTTAGGAATATGGGGGATGACAACTCTTTCAAAGCTCTTAGATCTGGTTTCCAAATTTCTGGCATTTCCATTATTTTGCTTCTTGGAAAAAATTTCTTTTCTCCCACAATCAGACTTATTGTTAAAATTTACATGATTGTGGTCATCTCAAAGATTATCGTGAAGTCACTGCTCTTGCAAACTCAAAATGCTTTCCCTTAGACATGCTTTTTTTTCAGTCACTCACTATTGGGTTTATCTACCCTTGCCATCTCATCTGGACTATTTTGAGTTTGGTAAACCCTTGAGAGTTTGCGATAGTGTGGCTCAACTGCATGTGTAATGCTTATCTATTTTCAGTGTTGTGAGGCAGGTGGATGGAACTTTGGTCAAAAGATACAAACACCCTGGGCCTGTATATGGCTGTGACTGGAGCCTCAATAACAGGTAGGTGTATGTCAAATCCCTACACAAGTATAAATCAATAGAAATCACTTTTATGTGGTAAGGAATAAGTTGCTGATATAGTATAATTATTCAAATGTATCCATCTGAGCTCTAAATAGACTGTTTAACTTGGTGCCAGCATGATCAAGTTACTTGTAAATCCATCTAATGATCAGACTGGTAGACTTGGGTTTGGAGTGTGATCCAATTTAAGGTTATTTTTCAAGAACATTTTCCAATGTGCAGCGTTTTCAATACAAATGTTGCATGCTGTCACAAAATCTTGCAGGTGTTGTTTAATGAACTCAATTTCATACTGTTTCTCTCTGTTTCATAGAGATATGATCGCAACAGGTTGTGAAGACAAATGTGTCAGAGTGTTTTATGTTGCTGCAAGTACAGATCTTCCTTTAAAGATATTCTCTGGTAATGTTCATGCTTCTTTAACATCTGAAACTTAATACAAGTCATGGGCTTAAAGAGGCCTTTTAACATAATCTATATCTTGAAAAGCCTTTTGATCAGACCTTTAGAAATCTATTTTTTTTCTGTTGAGAGATGTAATTTGCAAAATACACAAATCAATAACTTACAAAGCATAATGTAAGGACATTGGGTTACTCTATTAATGTCTTTTTATTAAGAAAGAATTAAGCCATAATGCTTAAAGAGGGTAACTAGTTAATTAAAGGTTGGGCATTTACCAGGTAACCTTGTTTAACTGTCTTAATTTTATGATGGTTGATTCTGTGTAGGTCACACAGCAAAGATCTTCCATGTTAAATGGAGTCCTATAAGAGAAGCAATTCTCTGCAGTGGATCAGATGATGGGTAAGTCAAAATGACCTGTTTCAGGTAATAATAATAATCAGTGTTAAAAATACTTTTTTCGCTTGAGCAAGTACAATGTACTGTGTTTTACCAGAAATATCCACACCCCTCACACAGGGAGTTTCTTGGTTTGAACAACTCTGCCCATACCATTGGAAATTCCAGTTTTACTTTCCTTTAATCATTTTGGCTTTTGACACCCCCTCCCCCTTAGAACTTCCGATAACCCTCCTTAGGGTGGGTATGGATATTTTATAGTTTTTTCAGAAGCACACATTAGAATTTATTCAAATTGTATTTTAATTAGTGAGATGTGTTTTACCTGGCAGAGTCACCCCATAACACTAATCTGTTTTTGCTATTTCATCAGCACCATTAAAATCTGGGATTACACTGAGGTGAGACAATTTACCTTTTCATTCTTTGCATGTGATGTGCAAAGACCTGAATCCCCCTTTCAAGCTTAGCGCTACAACTTTGAGAAGGGATTTAGACTTCATAAGTTACAAAATATTCTGCTCTGTATGGTCTTAACTTTGTCTATTTGTTTTTATACCATGCCATAGAAAATACAGCCAATCAGAATACAGGAAAACCATTGTACAATCGACGGTATTACACCCAACCTTCCCATCATGCGCTGTGCGTATGTCGCATTGATTGTGTTGGCCACTGTATTTTCTGTGGCATGGTATAAAATAGTTATGCAATGCCCTCTTGTGGTATACCATGAAATATCCCACTTATTGCCTGTATGTTCTTGGTATAGACACTGGCCCAAAGGCCTGTGTGTATACCAAGAAAATACAGTCAAGTGACTTGTGGGATATTCCATGGTACACCATGTGGAAGCATTGCATAACTAGTATGCAGTGAAAGAACTCATTCATTGCTTGTATGATTAGGATTCCTGTGTACACACATTAGAAGGTCACAAGGCTCCTGTACGTGGTCTCCTGTGGAACCCAGAGCTTCCGTTTCTTCTGATTTCAGGAAGCTGGGATTATGCGATAAGAATTTGGGATACAAGGTAATTGGCTGAAAATCTACAAAGTTTTTCTGTGAATTTGAATGAGGTTTTGAAGAGCTGTCAGTGTATAGTTAATCTTGTTGCCATTCAGCAATATCAGTGTGTTTTGTGTTTGTACCGTTACAGAGATGGATCCTGTATGGAAACTGTGTTAGATCATGGAGCAGATGTCTATGGTATGGATTAACAATGTCCAACTTTTTGTTCAGTAATTTTCATGTGTTAAAAACGGGTAAAGTCTGCATACAAGCGAAGTGGCCTATTAGGCCAGAGCTTATCCCGGTTTCTGTAGCATGAAGCGACTAGGAGTATTTCTACTCCCCCTGGATGGGATGCTAGTCCATTGCAGGGTTACCCCCAGCATTAAGTTCGCCGGTACCCATTTATACTCGTGAGTGGAGAGAGGCACTGTGAGAGTTAAGTGTCTTGCCCGAGAATTCAATGCAGTGTCCCTGGCTAGGGCTCGAGCTCGGACCACTCGATCCAGAGATGAGCACACTAACCATTAGGCCCCCGTGTCTCTTACAATTTTCATGTGTAGAACAGCCAAATTCACGTCAATGTATTACTTACACTGATATAGTGTTCTGTGCCTTCATTTGTAGGTCTGACATGTCATAGATACAGACCTTTCACTATTGCGTCTTGTTCACGTGATTCCACTGTCAGAATCTGGACTCTGTCCCATTTGGCGTGTTCCTTGCAGATTGACGTGCTGGCTAAAAGACCACTGGACGACATTGTCACTAACAATACTGGTACGTCGCATCGGGAGCTTGTCAGGAGTTTGTCTTCGAGTTTGCTTAACATCCCTCCCACCCCCAACCCTCCCCCCCACCCCCGAATCTAAAGGTATATCCGTACAGTTGAATCTCCAGCATTAAGTTGTGCAGCATTTTACTGTGCAGGTGTTGGACATCTGCACAGTAAAAGGGACTGACACCTCCTGTAAGCGGACACTTAACAATGGTTCCAGCCACATAAGCTGGGGCTTCTCTTAAGCGAACACTTTCTCTGGTCCTGAGGGTGAACATTCGTTTACGGGAAGTTTGATTGTACTTGTCCATCCTGATTGCAGACATGGCTGTTTGAATATGCACCATTGATAGTACATTTGTCTGTGCCACTCAATCTGTTTTTCTCCACTTGTTGTCTCACAATGATATATCTCTTTGGGTGTACTGTGGTCCGGTGGTCCCAGATAATAGATTGTTACTCGAAAGAAAGTTAAAAAAAATCTCGATTGTTCTGGTCTACATCCCTGTTTTACACGTACTGGAAAACAGAGAGTACACTGGGAAAAGTAGTTTTCTTTCTTTTACTTCCTGTCATGGTATAGTAATGAAGTGTTAATTCTTAGTCATTTTTGGTTTCGTGCAAGAACATGAAATAAACGAGATCCAAGAATTCTAAGATTGGTCTCTTTCTTCTTACGTTTCATAAATGACGTATTTTTTTTTGTCTTTTTGAAGAAACGGCCATGTCAACTGGTGGCTTACCGCTGTTGAATGGGAGAGTTTCTCGTGAACTGAAAGCAACTGTTGCAGCCAAAGGAGAAGCTGCTCACTTGTCAGCAATTAAACTCGTCTCAGACTTCTTTACAGTAAGATTTGCATGAAAATTCTCTCTATTGATATCTAGATGTTCCTACTGTATTAGTTGGAGGAATATGTGGATTTATAAAGAATATTGATTTGTCTTTCAGCCCCCATGTGGAGCAAGGAACCTGTGGGATTTGGTGTTAGTATTGAGGGATGGTGATGACAGCTTGTTACCAGCATCTTACAGCAAAGGCATCATGCATACAAAACATCTTGTGAAACACAAAGCAGTGAGTATTGTACACTGTACGTTTGCACTATGTATTTCCGGCAACTTAGGTCAAGAAAAGGTATTGGTTTCTAAAGAAACTGTTGGGCTGCGTTGGTGGACAACTGAAACGTTGACTTAGCTGTTCAGTTCTCACATTACCAGCGCAATCATAAGTGCAAGCACTAGACAAAGGAAACACTTTGATCGTTTGCGTTTCGGCTTAATAGAAATCTAACGTTGCTTTCCTGGAGCTATTCTAGTGAATTCAATGTCGTCAAAATTTGTAGACTGAACTTAAAATGACCTTCGCAGAGTATGTTCCACATTTTATTTCTCCTTACAATATCATTGCATTGTGAAGCAAACAATTAAGTATTGAGGATAAAGAGACTCATCAGCATGTTGATTTTGTCTTGATGTATCTCCATATTCTCAGATCTAACATAGACTGAAACGAACGACAATCCAAAAGGTGAATATCTTTTTTGACTGAAAGGGTTATTTTTGAAACAGCCTGACTCCACTTTGTTTGCTGTGTGTGTTTTTAGTCAGAGGCACAGGAATTAGAAACGGTGCGAACTTTGTCGGGACGAACAGGAGGATTGGTGTCCAAGAGGGAGGACAGAATTAAAGAAGCGTCGAGTCTCCATGCCAAGATTGGCCAGCTACAGAGATACTGTGAGCTCATGGTTGAACTTGGCGAGGTACGTAATACTTACCAAATGCAAAATAATCTCAATGACCGATCACAATAGGCATAAACGGGGAGGAGGCGTGGCCTCGTGTTTAGAGCGCTGAATTTGAAATCCCGTGGTCCCGAGTTCAAATCCTCCTCCCTGCCACTAGATGGGTTTGCGTATGGTAGTCCCAAATTCAACTCCTCCATGCTTTGTAGTTTGTAACTAGCCAACTGGTTAGCCTTCCACCAGCTGGGATTTTTAACAAGGTTCTGTTCTACTTACAATATGTGTTTGCTTTTCTCAGTGTATCAGTACAGCAGTGCTAAACACTTCGACACTTGGATTAAGTGATTTAATATTTTATTGTTAAACACACAACGAATCAATGAGAACTCGGAGCAAGGACACGCGACTGGCGCCAAGCGCGGGAAAACAACAACAAACAAAAGCAACATTTCAAAGCGTATTACTACTAGAATTCATTTTGTATTGATTTTAGTCAGTACAAAATGAATAGCATTTTAAAAAATGCTACCCCGAGCAAATGGAGAAACACGTTCTGCTTTGTAGCGTTGTATATATTCGACAAACTATGCCAGAATACGTTTGAGCTCCTCAACAATGTACCCAATTTTTTAACACTAGTCAGAAGTTTGGCTATACTGTAATTTTTGTCTCGACAACAACAACAACCATTTTATTTGCGTAATACATAGAATATCATATAGCAAAAAAATAAAGTAAACTTAAATAAGCAAAAAAAACTACTCAAAATAGTAAGAACTAAACGAGCTGAGTAGTTACAAGAATTATTATGCTTTGAATCGGTTGTAAAAAAAAAATAAAAAAAAGAGGAGGGAGAGGCAGTAATAGTAGCAGTTATTGACAAAGCATTGTTTAATTAAGAGCGATAGTAACTTAAAGAAAAATACTAAGCTAGCATTAAGCATAAGAACTTAGAAATTGCTTAGTCAAGTTTTGTTTAAATAAACGCAGAGATAAGCCTTTATCTCTTCATCCAAATTGTTCCAGATAGAAGAACCAGAGAAATATAGATTGAACTTGCCATAAATAGTTCTAACGTAATCGATATAATATGTCTCATTACTTATCTATTTAATTTGTCGTTTGTTGTGTTTATAGTGGGACAGAGCACTCGCTATGGCTCCCGGAGTTTCAATGGAGTATTGGAGAGAGCTAATTGAAAGGTGTCTATTCAAATCCCTATCATTACCTTGTTTTTTTTCTCTGCAAACCCTAGAGCACTTTGTAAAGTAAATGCAATACACATGTAATATAATTTCAATTTCTTGACCGCTTCCTGGTTGAACTTGTTTCAGGCGAACGTCTCAGCTCATGAGAGAAGATGATGACGCCGCCGTCCCGTACTGTGCTGCGTTAGGAGATGTGACCAAGGTACCGCCACTAAAAACCACGATTTAGCTTACTCTAAGAATTATGTGCGATTGTTCCAGTATTTTGGTGATACATCTACCAATATGCCTTACTGTATTTCTGTCCTTGCTATTTAATGTACACAAGATGCTAAACAGCCGGGGGGGGACTCACATATAAGAAGGACGGGGGGTGCTCGTCATACCTTTTAGGGGTTAAAAAAGCGTTTTTGGTACCTCTTCGGGTGTTCAGCCTCAAAAGTTCCTCAGTGGAAGCTGTCGTGGTACCTTTTACGGTAATGAGCCGAAAAAATATACGACAGGAGATAATGTGTTGTTCTAGAATCGGTAGCTCTGAGGGGTGGAAACAATTTGAAGCCACGCCCACAAAACAGGATCTTAATTCCTCTTAGGGGTTCCTTTAAACGTTTTCGACGAGCAACCCTGTCCTTTTTTATATGGGAGTCTCTCCTAGGGTTAAATGTTTTGTTGAAATTATGCAATGAGCGTCACACAGCAATTAGCTGCTAGAAACGCAGCTACTCACGTCGCAGTTTCCTGATGTTCCACAATCTTTCACGCTTACGCCGAAACAAATTTTAAAATTGAAAAGTTTGTACCGGTACTTGTAAATAGTGTTGAAATTCACGAGCTTGGGGAATTTATGAAAATGAATTCAGAGTACGTTATAAAGAAAATAAGAACAAATGAGGTCAAGCGAGTGTAGAAGATCGACTTCAAAATGTTAGTATCCTTAAGATAGGGTCTAGGTGACCGAGAATTTCTAGAGGTTCATTAATTATGAACTGTTTGTACTTATGTTCGTTTTGTCGCCATATTCTCTTACAGCTCGTTGAATTCTTTACGTCACGTGGTCAACTTCACGACGCCCTATTGGTTGCTCAGGTAGCGTGCGAGGGTGGGCTGTCTTTGCCACAGGAACAAGAGAAGAAACCTCTTGATCTGAGGAAAAACGACATCTTGCCTTCACTGAAAAATTTTATGACTGACGAGAACAAAGGGTAAGTAACTGCCAGTGGAGGGAAGGTAATCATTGGGGTGAAGGAAAACAAGTGGGAATAAAAAAAAAGGAAATAATGAAGGGAAGAGACGAATGAGGGATAAGCGAAAGGACGTTGAGGGGGGAAAGTCACCAAAGCCCTGGAATAGAGGGAAAAAGGGATAAAGCGTACGAAATTTGGGTTGTGCGGGGGGCGTGTGGAAGGGGGGCGTGGGAGGATTAAAAGGAAGTAGGGGATGCTAAGAAAATAGGAAAAGTATTTTAAAGACCGTTAGCGGGACAGATAAGATTGGAAGCTTAGGGCTAGTAGGTCGCTTTAGAAAAGCAAGAAAACGCAGAGGTAGAAAACAACGTGTTTGAGTCTTGTAGGGGGTGATGAGGCCACTCACTCAGTGGGATATCTGTGACATCATAAGACTAAGTTTCTCTTTTGCGTTATCTTCAGACTTCTTCAGTCCACCAGCGCAGGGCTGGCAAACTGGTATTTCTACAGTGGGCAGCCTGTGCTGGCAGCTTGTTGTCACTTAGCTGTTGGAGATGTCAAGGTTAGACTCAACCTGCGCCAGTTTTAGCAGATTTAGTAGTAAACACACGCTGACTTGTTTAACTTTTCTGGCACATCTTATTTTTGCGCCTTACTTCTCGCTTGGCCGAAAATTTATTTTACAACAAAACAACTGGCATAATTATCTCAATATTTCTCCTCCTTCTACTCTTGACAGTTTCTCATAAGTAGCTTTCCTGGATGAAGTCTGTTTTCCAAGTGCTCTTGACAATTCTATTAATTTCATCATTACTGTTTTTAACTGGCACCCTTGCTTTAGATATGCTAACTAGCTTATTTCGTCATAGTTTGCTTTGTCCAAACTCATACGAGGGAACGAGTTGGAACTGGCTGTCAGCATGGGAATCGTGATTAACGATAACAGTCACATGTATCACTTGGCTGTAGAGCTTCTGGCAAGAAAATGTGAAAAATTAGGAAAATGGTAAGAAAATGTTTTTGTTTACGGAAGGAGAATGACGTGAAGTCCGGAAGTAGGGTGGTGATTGGTTAACAGCGTCTCATTGCGTTTCACTCGAAACTCCGTTTTCCCGCCACTGGTTAAATGTTTTTCCCGCGTTTGCAGCTGCGTACTTGGTTTCCAGCGTTTGCCACAGGTGACATGTTTTCCCGCCCTTGCCACTGATAACATACTTTCCCGCGCTTGCCACTAATATCATGTTTTCCTGTGCTTGTCGCTGGTCATGTGTGATTGCCTCGCGTCCTGGTTGGTCAATTGTGCCATAAGTTGTGAGAGTTGCGATTATCGGTCACTTGTCAACTATCATAACCTTAATTTTTTTTTAGGGACACTTGCATCGCTTTACTTAAGTTACTGCCCGGCAGCGAGAATCACCTCATCAAATCGTGTGCGAGATGTCAAGGAACTGTCACAGAAGTGAACGAATTACACGAAAAGGTGACTTAACTTCCAGAAAATTATCAATGCTTATTTCTCTGATATGATTTCCTTCAATTCCTTTGTCTTTGGTCTTATCAGGCGGGGTTACCAAGCGTAGAGGAATGCTTGCGGAAAGCAGAGCAGCTGTATGAAGAGAGCAAATTCTTGGACGCCATGAAATATTACCTAGCGTCCTCTTCTCCTGAGTTGGCGTTGGACATCGGGTTGAATTTAGTACGAGGTAGGGCTAGCCTAGAACTTGTTCAAACAAACGCGCCAAGATCTATAATTTGTAGATGTATCGGGTTAAGTAAAGCTACCCGGTAAATAAAGCTACCCGAGCTTGCGGCGTTTCCTTAGGATAGTGAGGCCCGCTGTAGGATCTTTTATTGTCTTATTCGCTAGAAATGGATTTTGGTCAATAGACTACTTTACAGTTCTGTGAAATGTAACCAAGCCTCTGCACGGAAGCGAGGTAAAGGTTGCTCTTGTGAAGATACGGATTAGAAAATAGTGTGCAAGATAACAGAACAATTTACCTTTGTAAAGTAGCAAGATTTGTATCAGACCAGAGTCAACTCCAGCCTAGCTTCTATTCAAAGGCCCGATCATTCAGCGCTGAATTGTAAAATAGGCTATTACTCTACTTTAGAGAACCTTTTTTGGGCAATGCGTCATTGCATAAACCTAACATTTTCAATTTCTTTTTATCCAGTCAGAGAATAGTATGCGCATTCGGCACAAGAAGTCTGAGCATGTGTTAACGTTATTTTTCAGATGGCATGAGTAAACCTTATTGGGTGCTAGATGACGTGCTAGGCGTCCTGCAGTGGATGTCGTGTATCAGGACAGACCGGTTACAGCAAAGCAGGACTTCCAAGTATGACAAGCTAATAGCGACCATTTATTCACTCAATGCAAACTAGCCCCTCTCAATGTAACATTCACTATTTTTGCCTCAAGTCGTTATTGTCAGTTTTGAGTGAAATGAAGTGAAGTGAAGGTGTTCCAATAGTCGTGATAGAAGAGAAAATTCACATCCTACAGTAAAAGCAGGTTATGGTACACAATTCCTACGTGAAACTGTTGTATTCCTGGAGAACTATTGCACTTCCTTGAAATGAAATTATTTTATATGGAACATTTTGTAAAGAAATATATCAGTGCTACCATTTCAGCGGCAATTTAACAGAATAATTGTGATGACTTCCCCTCATGTTTTGATCAAAATCAAACGACTCACCCCTTATGTGGATTCAAAAACTCCCTTCCAACGAATAACCAACAGGGAGAAATGTCTTTTATCGAGGATATGGTATAACTAGGGAGGCTGAAGGGTAACAGAATCATTCCCCTATATAGGGCTTATTCACAAGGTAGTCCCTTTCAAGTTGTTTGTAGATTACTCACGGAAATCCCAGGAGATTACTCATGTGGACAGCCTGAATGGCTTCACGCGGTTTTTTCATCCCTCCACGTAATCATCCACTCAACGCACGTGGTCACATTATCCGCGGGAGGACTGGATACCATATCTAAAAATAACTTGAGAGGGTCTAAGGAAATAAGGCCTGTATGAGGGATAAACTTTCTCATTCTTCATCTTCTCTTGAGGGTAATTTTTAATTCGTGGCCTGAACAGTTCTCATGTATGCCATTGTTTATCCGCAGACAAAGACAGGAACTTCTGGCACTCAGCGCATATCTTGGCGCACTGTTGGCGATAAGGAGACAATACACTCCGATCATTCACCCTCTCTTCAAACACGCCAGGTGCGGAGACAAAACACTTCTCAATTGTTTACCATTGTTTTACAAGGGATTCTTCTTTTCCGTCAGCCAAAAACAAGCAGAATGGGAGGGCGATTTTTCTTCTCAAACGTTCTTACTACTCTCGCGACAATCCGCAAGGGAACAAGAGAAACTTCTTATTTGGACTGAATAAATTATCAGCATTGCATATAAGTTCAGCAAGCTTTTGGCTGCAAAATGGGGTACCACTCGAGCCAAAGAAAATTCATTTCAACTTACGACCTCCGGATAACATTACCGTCGCTTTACCGACTGAGTTTCGAGACAGACGAGAATAAACCTAGAGCTTACACTGTTTTCCTTTATTACCAAAAGTCTAAGACCATGCTGCATTTTTTTTTCTAATCTTAGACATTTAATTCATCAAGACAAAGTGGAGTTGGCGGTCACAGCTTCTCAAATCGAAACCGAATCCGAGGCATGGCTCGCGTTCAACCGGCCTCTCAAGTAAGTACTTCGTGTATGCTTATCATATGTTAACCCCAGTAATCAGCATCTCATTTCTCTTCACAAGCTTGCAGCTCATGAGAATACAACAGTTGATCACTCAAAGAGACATTGTCTCAATTCACTCGCAATCCAGTTCTTTGAAGGAGGTCAAAAGGGTTTGCTTGGAACTAGAGCAACGAGAAGATCATTTATGTCGACTAAGACGATAATAGTTAACAGCATAATATAAGTTGGTCTTTTTTGTTTCCAGTCCCTCTGTCACTCCCACTCCTGAACAGAAGGCCGTTTGGGACTTGTTACTGAAGCGTGTTGGTAAGTAATGATTATGTCCAAGGAAGAAAGCAACTCTTCAACAACGTGACATGAAAGGTTTTCCTCATTTGACTGATTGATTACGACCGTATAACGAACATATTAAAAAAAAAAAGTTTCAAGTGAGTGCATCCATTCGAATCAGACGAGCGAGCGAGGCTTTTGGCGAATCTACGACATAATGCCAAGACGATCAAACATTAACTCAACAACATTACCGGGTTTGGAAGGAAAAATCTGGAAACTGTGTCAAGTCAATTCATACTTCATAGAAACGAGATTCCTCTCGAAAAATGATACTTGTTCCGCTTAAATGCGGTGTAATTTCAATCGTTTTTATTTTCTGTCAGGGACTGAGGCATCCATGTACGAGGTTGGTGTTGACATGGTGACGGGGTCTCTTCTCCCAAGTCACTCAGATGTCCAACTGTCATGTCTGACTGGAGAGAGAATCAAGGTAACAACCAAACTCGCGCGTTAATCATAGAAGACATGCTGTATTCTCCTAACATTAGCCAAACTACTGTCTTTGTTGGCGTGTTCAATTCTTCCATCGTGAGAAAAACCAAAGTCGTTCCTTTGGTACTTTCTGTACCTCGAGAAAGCACCTTGGCAACGGCTGGTTTCTCGAGAAAGAGAGCGGACCCTGGGAACGAGGTTATAGAAAAAGACGTCTTCTGATGACATAGCCCAGATCTACCTGATTGGTTACGACTTGCGCGAGAAAAATTTGTAACCTAGCAGCGACCAATCAGAAACGCTTAAAGGATCTATCTGGCATGATCATTTGTGTCATAGCATCAGCGCCGTAGCCAGTATATAGAGTATGAGGCAAACCGAGGCACTTGCCACAGTCATTTTTGTCGTTTTTATTGTTTTATATTTTGGATGGAAAAAGTAAAACACTGCTAAACACCTTAGATGAGAATTTAGTCGTGGACATTGCCTTTTTTCTGTCTACGGCCCTGAGTATAGAATTTTTGCGACGACATCAGGCATTCTTTGAGCTGGGATAGAATTTATACCGTTGTGCTACTGAACTATTTGTTTTAGCTGACCAGTTCGGCCGCTATGTTGTTTCTCAAACAGTGAGAGTCTTGCCAACTTCGAAAATTGCTAAATGATACAAATTTCCTGTTCAGTTTTCTTGTGACAAAATTTCTCTCTGGAAACTGCGTGCGACTAGCAGGAGACTTATTTCTTTCCAATTGACACGGTGTTTCTTGCGTTTCAGGGTCAGGCGTTCTTCTTGAACGATGGCCGCTCAGTGATGTCACTAAACAACGCGCTGATGTGGGCAAAGGTGAACCCCTTTTCCTTGGTGGGAAATGGAGTGAGACTAGAACCATTCTACTGAGCAGCAGCTGGCGTGACATCTAAAGAAGCAGTGTCTATGTACGCTTTAGGAAAAAAAAGGGAGTGGAAAGTCGACCCTACACCGCTTAACACCCTCGTCGCTGGCGGACACCTCAAATCAACTGCCTTTCCGGCTTGGTTAAGCTCGGATGCACTTGGCAGTGATTAAGTTCTAAGTAAATTTTCTTTCCTCATCTTAGAGTGCCAGAGTGCAAAATGTTTTAAACGTTTTTCTATTGAACAACACAGAGAGACTTCATAGTTTTCGTGTGCGTATCCACACTAATTAAGGATTTCATCTTTAGACTTAACAGTTATTGGTAAGTCTTTGGATCAAGAAAAGAAGGGAAGTGATGGAAAATGTTTGAAAGTCGGACTAAGTAAAATTCGTTTGGACGTTGTTAAGGAAGAACTTAATTACAGAATTACAGAAGACTTCTAACGATTGGTTAAGTAACCAAAACCAAAGCAACCGTAGCAGACCAATCACAACAAACGCAGAAAACACTTTGAACCAATTAGAATTCCAGCTGAAAAAAAAACATGGAACCTGTACCTAGCGCGGGAAAACTTGCAACTGGTGCCTAGCGCGAAGAGAGAGAAAAAGGCTAGGTCACTTTTGGGTTTACAATTTCACAGATTGGCTAAAAGAATACGTTTGATGTGATTGGTTACAGCTTGTAGAAGAATTTTCTTTTTATTAACCAGTTTTGAAGCTGAATAGACGCAAAAACCAAAGCATTTTCATGTCACGCATTAAAAAAAGCGACTCTAAGCTTATTTATTTTGGTAAAAAATTGTCTCCATTCACGCCGTTTTTATTTACGTTTAACTAAACTTCACCTTGATAGATTTTCATATTTAATAGACAGAGATGTTGCTGGCCCAACGACTGATATTTAGTAGAGTGAAATTCGTCAATTCGTTTTAACAATCATCGACGGTAAGTTCCGGGGGGGGAAGGGGGGACACCCATTTGAAAAGGTCGAGGATGCTCGTTGTCTCGCTTAGGGGTATAATTCAAGGATTCTGGATTCACTTATGGTGTTCATGACGAAACGCCTCTATTTTTAGCTGTCAGAATATCTTTTAGGGTGCACTCGACGAAATGATAATAAAAAAACGCCCGTTTTTCCGTTTTCAGGCTGGATCTGTGCCGATCTCTCGGGATTAGTCTACTAGCGCGGACTCGTTTCCTGAACAGCGGCTGATAATCGAGCTTATTCCGTTTTAAGTGGTATCTTTCTGGGGTCCAATAAAGCTCGAGTCACACCCAGATTGGTCTCCTGTAGGGGTTTAATTCAAATTTTCCAACGATCATCTCCGACCTTTTCATGTGTGAGTTCCCCGGTCAAAGTTGCTTTGAGCTTACGATGGGGACGATGTAATTTTCTAAGTAGTTAGTGGGAACATATTTATGGGTGGCATATGCGTGCATTTCTGGCCGTATTTATCCAGGAAGACGAGTAACGTCTAACATTATAAAGTGCGTCCGCGTAAAAACGAGATGCATGAAACTCGTGCGTTGACAAAACAATCTATGGTGGGAGAGAGTGGTGGTCGCTCGATTAATAATTTTAGTCAAGCGAATTCAAACTTCAGATAAGCTCGTTTAGTTGATAAGTTCATCTGACGTTTTATGTGTCTTATTTTCCGTATTCACCAAGACCTATTATTCATCTTCTAAGGTAAATACGGCCAGTTATATGAATTATGGATACTTAAAAAAATTAGGGTAATAGGCGTGGTTTTCTCTCAGTTTTGAAGTGACGACGCTGTGCGCCGTATCTCGGTGTTAGGAACGGTAGTAAAACATGGAATCTCGTGCACGTCTGATGGACGCTTGATAAAGCTCCACCAAGAAGCATTAAAAGATACTTGTGACGTGAGAGTTCACTTCCTGCCAAATTTATTTTTGTTTTGTAAAAATCTTGCTAGGCTGTGTGGTAGTCATAAGTATTAGATGAATGTATTTAGTGCATTTCCCAATTCTGCAAGATCGGCTAAAATAAAAATAAAATCTCTAATGTAAAAAGAACTGTGACTGTTATGTTTGTTTAAAAGCAAAAGTCGTCGATTGAGTCTTGTTTTCGAGCGTGTAAAAGGTGTCAACTGAAACCCCTTGAAAACCGCAAAGTCAAATCGAAAAATAAACGTGCTTCAGTGCCAGCAAAACACGTGACAGAGCCAATTATATTTTCCGTTATGATGGCGTGTGCACTTGCAGAACGAAAAACGAAAACGAAACATGAAATAAAGGTACAACACAACTTTAATGAAAACATGCTGTTGAACTATGCAACAATTGCATCGCATGAAATTAGTTACCGGTGATTACAATTCTTACTACTCGCTTGGATCAAAATCTTCAAAATGCGTAAGTCTCGGTGTCTCATCTTGTCTGTATTGTTACTAGTTTGACTCTATTTTTCAAGAGGATGGAACAAGTAGAACTGAGAAAAAAATATACGGCAATAATTTAACTGAAGGAGGAAAATGCCTTAATGATGGAATCGTTGGATACTTGGAACTGAAGGAACAAGAAAAAATGTTACCTTTTGCTTTCGTGGGCGTGCATTGAACCAACAGTTTGCAACCAAACAATTTACACATAACTTCAGTATTTCTATATAGGCCCTTGTATTCAATTCACACACGTACTATTTTTCAGTTTTAATTGAAGTTAACAGAATTTTCAATTTGTTTCTCGTTTTCGCTTGAGATATTGAATGTTTCTCCGACTGAAATGAGTTCAAGACCCACCATATTTCGAAGAGACTTCTGATCACAAGTTTTATCCGTCATAGGCCGAGTCAAGATATTATTAACTTGTTTTGAAAAACATCACCCAAGCTGGGTATTTTAACATTCTTCTTGGCTATTTATCGATCTAAATCTATACTAGACAATTAAGGGTTTTCCGTCCGATCAAGTGTATTCATCGATTTCATCAATATTCCAACAACTGATTGAGTGGTTCGATGTATTCCGCTACTGATGTTCACAGAAAACCTATATCAAGACAAGTGGGTTTCTAG